GCAGGCTTCCTCTCCCGCAATACATTCACGCACCCGGGGACGGCGCCGGCCCCGGGGCTCAGCCTCGCCGGGGGTTGCGGGGGGGCTCCCGCGGCATCAAAAAGGCAACGGGGTCAAACTTTGCGGGAACTCGCTCGCAGCCCCTCGCTGCCCCCGGGCGTGCCGCCGGCTGCCCGGGCAGGGAGCGCCGCATGCCCGCGGCTCCGGCGGCCCCGGCTGCGGCTCCGGGCCCCCCCGCCGCCCTGTCCTCCCTCCTTCCCCCAGTCCCATCCCTCCCCCTGCATTTCGCTTTTAAACTGCAGCTGTTGAAGCTAAACCTCCTTTGCAAAAAAAAAAAACAAAAAAACCCAGCATTTCCTCCCACATGTCCGTGAATTGTGGGTAATGTAGTTTTTTTTTTATTTTAGAAACACCTTCCCCCCCACCCCCCTTTATTATTATTATTATTATTATTATTATTATTATTATTATTATTATTATTATTATCTTTTAATTTCACTGCAATGTGCTTTTTCTTGGGTTTTCGGATTAAGATTTTTCTCTCCCGGTTGGAGCGTGCTGGGTCGATTTGGTACCAACCAAAGGGCACCAGAGGGGAAGATTTCCCTGTTTGCAGAACCTGTAGCCCTAGGTTGGACGGACTGTGATTCCAGCAAGGAATAATGTAAAGCTCTCCGTAGCAGCAGTGGGACTTGGGAGCAGCTGGAACAGGGAGTGAGAAATGTCTGAGGCAGCAGTGGATTGCAGGAAAGTTGTAAACTTCTATTACAGGCAGTTTTAGGGGTAATGTTGCCAGCTGGTGCTGCTGGCCATCAGCTGGCTGAGGATCTGAGCACCAGGGGAGGTGAAATTTTTGGCGTTTCAGCAATAGCTGATGGACATCAGCTCATCAGCTGAGTGAGTGTCACTTGTTTCTAAATAGGAAACCTGAGGAAACGAGGTAAAAATCTTATTGCTGGTGCTGCTTGTGGTGTGGCACAGCAGCACAGAGCTGCTGTAAATGTATTTTAGTCCTTCGCACCCTGCACTCTCAGCAGGCTGGATTAGCCCTTAGCAGGCAGGAGAGACCTGAGCTACCAGGTGATCCTAACAAGCAAAGGTCACAGGACGAGGGGAGGCAGATTTGCTCATTTCCACTCACAGCAAGTGGAAAAAACACAGTTTATTGTCATGTTTTTCCTCCTCATGTGTGTCTCGAAGCATTGAGGAATATTTATTTTAAACTTCCCAGTTGCTGTGAGAGGCACAATTTAGTCACTAGTCCTGTGACAGAAACACTAAGAACCTGCTCAAGTTACAAGCCACTTACTATCATGTAGTACCAGGAAGAATGAAATTAGCATCTTCCGAATGAAATATCCAGCAGCCTCCAGAAGGTGCTGAAATCCTTTGACATTTCCAAGACTCTTTCACACTTTTCAAACAAGCTTGTCACAGTTTCCCAGAGCATCATGAGTCTGGTGAAACTGCATATTCTGCGACTCTAGTTTCACTGAAGCTTCAGCCAGGTCTTGCTTCAACTTGGCTGTCTCTGGTGCTCTGGTCAACTAGGAAATTGCATTATCTCGTTCTAATTAAATCAGCTCTTCAGCTGGAGTTTTTGTTGGGTTTTGGTCGTGCCTGTCTCTGTCACGCCGCTGTGAGTGATTAAGGCATTAGCACATCCCACCCAGTATTTATATTTATATTTATATTTATATTTATATTTATATTTATATTTATATTTATATTTATATTTATATTTATATTTATATTTATATTTATATTTATATTTATATTTATATTTATATTTTTGTCCCTAGAAGGATCCCGTGCAGGGTTTGCTGGCTGCACTTTGGCTACAAGCGCTGCTTCTTTGGCCAGCTGCCGGCAGAGGTTGGGAGGCAGAGAGAGGGGATGGCGCTGTCGCTCCTGTCCCACCCGCATCCCAGCGAGGTTTGCCTGGCCCCGCGGCTGTGCGGGGAATTGTGGCCGGCAGCCCCGGGGCGAGCAGCGCTGCAGGGCTGGGCACAGCCCGGGCTGGGCACGGGGGGCATGCCGGGTTTGTCTGGCTGGCTGTCTGTCTGTCTGTCTGTCTGGGCGTTCTCCCAGGTGCTGGATGAGCCCTGCGGATCGTGTGTCAGGACTGGAATAGCCCCGCCGGAGCAGGGAGCCTGTCTACAGGGATATTTATAAACGCCTGGGTTCGGTTTGCAGGATGGGGCTTGTCGTGGCCTCAGTGGGATCAGGGATTTTTCCCTTCCAAGCTCAGTTTCTCCAGCTGGGACTGTCAGTGACAGCTCACCCTGCTGCAGGAGAGACCAGGCAGTTTTCCTTTCCCACTCCACCACTGACACGGGTTTTGCTGGCCCTGCATCCACCCCACGCTGCCCTTTCTCCTCCAACCCCTTCCTGCTCAGGACTGGGGCTGGAGTGCAAGGCTGGAGTCTCATGGGGAGGCTGAGGCAGAGAAATTCCCTCATATCAGCATCAGCAGAAGAGACAGGCACCAGATTAAATTCACTCCCAGGGCTTTCAAGGTATTTTTTAACCCCTGACAGCTCCTGAGGAACACGTTCTGTTGCAGCTCAGCATCCCCAGCACCAGACTGGGCAGGAGTCTCGCTGTTTCTGCAGGGTCCTGGCCACCAGTGCCTTTATCCCTCTGCCCACTGATATTTGCAGAGCCCCACATTTGCAGCGAGTGGGAAAATCCAGGAGGCCAGGCACTGGGAGGTGATGGTTACAGCCAGGTGGAAGCAGTGCTGATGGTTCTCTGCCTGGCCCATGTCAGGTAGGCTGAGATTTCCCACATGCTGGGCAGTGGGGTGAGGGCAGGCAGGTAGGGATGGGCTGCTGGCTGCCCTGGTAGTGGCAGCACAGCCAGGGATCAGGCAGGAGCTGCTGGGTGTTGGTGATGTGACAACTCCTCTGTGATTTAAGGGCAGCCACAGCCCCACGTGGTACCTGAGCCAGGACAGGTTGTGTTTTATGGGCTGGGTAAGGATGCCTGAGGAGGGAACAAGCTCTTCTTCCCACTGGGATCACAGAATCACATGGTTTGGGTTGGAAGGGACCTTTAAAGGTCATTTAGTCCAACCCCCCAGCCATTGGCAGAGACACCTTCCACTATCCCAGGCTGCTCCTAGCCCTGTCCAACTTTGTCCTTGAAAACTTCCAGGGATGGGGCAGCCACAGCTTCTTTGGGAACCTGTGCCAGGGCCTCAGCAGCCTCATTGTACAAAATATCTTCCCAATATTCCCTCTAACCGTGCTCTCTGTCAGTATGAAGCCAGTCCTGTCACTCCATCTCCAGCTCTCCTGGAGCCCCTTTAGGCACTGGAAGGAGCAATAAGGTCTCCCTGGAGCCTTCTCTCCTCCAGGCTGAACACCCCCAGCTCTCCCAGCCTGGCTTCAGAGCAGAGCAGCTTCAGCCCCTGGAGCATCTCCATGGCCTCCTGTGCACTCACTCCAGGTCCTTGTCCTTCCTGCTGGGGACCCCAGAGCTGGATGCAACGCTCCAGGTGGGTTCTCACCAGAGCAGAGGGGCAGAATCACCTCCCTTGACCAGAGATAAGTTCCAAAAATAAATTGATGTATATTATATTCCTTGCTTGTCCAAGCACTGCTGCCACCTGGATGGTCTAGTCAGATGTGCACAGCCTGGGAGCACAGTTCATGAGGGAATTTTGAGAGCTATGTATAAAAGTGCAAAGAAAATGTAAAAATTGTGTTATTATTTTTGGAAACCTAAGAACCACCTTTCATTTAGCACTTAAACTCCCCGGTGAAGTTTGGACAAGACCTTTAAAGACAGCTGGGTGCCCAGTTCCCAGGGTTACCTGTGCACCCACTGACCTCTGTAACAGGACAGTTGTGCAGACAAATGCCACTGGCACCGAGAGACGTGGCTGTTCTGCTCCTCGGTGTAATATCCACCTTCAATTCTCCATCCACGGGGGATTTCCAACCTACTTGCATAGGAATAATCCTGTTCCTGGAGCCTGGGGGTGGTGCTGGCAGTGCAGTGACCTGGCTCAGGGGGTGCTGCAGCTGGGCTGTCACCCTGAGCTGACATGGGTGGTCTCTCCCAGAGGTGCTGGAGGCTCAGGCACACTCAGCTGCTGCTCAGGGTGATGGTTCAGCCCCGGGAAGTGGAGCTGCAGGCTCCCAGGGGATGCTCCCGGGTGCATGGATGTCTCAGGGGTCGGTCCCAGCTGCATGGGGAGGTGGGAGGTGGCAGCGATGGAGCACAGCGTGCGTGGCAGGAGGGACAGCGGTGCTCCCTGTCCTCCCTGGGGCCTGGCAGAGCCTTCCTCCTGCCCGTGCTGCTGGGGCCAGTGGCTGTGCTGCTTTCGGGGGCCACGGGCACTGGCTGTCACCTGCTTTCTGTCACCTGCTTTCTGTCACCTGCTTTCAGCTCGGGCTGTGCTGTGCTGGTGACACGGAGGGGACACGTGCGCTATCGAGGCCACGCAGGAGGATGGGAATTCAGCAGCAGCTCCTTCCTGGCTAATCAGGAGGCAGGTGATGCTTCTCCTTCTCCAGGAACGGGGTGAGTGATGGAAGGCACGCCAGGGTGCACCCTGAGCGGGCAGGGAGGATGGGCTTAGGGGTGCTTTGAAAGGCATCTGTGCCAGGGGGGTATTGATGGTGCCCAGGCATGGGGAGGGAAGTGGAGAACAGATTAATCAGGAAGATTTGGGGGAAAGCCCCTTGAGGGGAAGTGCCTGAGAGACACCTGGTCTTGGTGCTGCTAAACCAGGCAGCACAGCCCCCCACGGGGTGCCCTGAGGAGGGGGATGCCATCATCTCCAGCTCTGGCTCTGGTACTGAAATGTGAATTGCAGCACAAAAAGAACTACGTTTCCCAGTTTCCCTTGCAGCCCAGGGGAATAAGCAATTGGAAGATTTAAATAGACCAGGCCAGAAGCAACCAACCTTTGGCACAATGTTTTTCCCTCCTCTTCTTCATATCTATTGGCTGTCCAACCTTTTTCCCTGGCACTGGAGTGGCTGCCAAGCCTGGCATTAATTTTCCTTCCAAGCTTGCTAGGCCCATGAAGTAAACAGCCATGTGCATTCCTTACTCTATATTTAACAGCTGCAGTCTGTGCTGGGGGCAACTGCAACAGAGGGGAACCTTTGTAGCTTCCCAAATTCACAGCTCGTGAGGGTGGGAGTGGGGGAAGCTTTCTGCAGGGAGAAGAGGGATTGCTCTCCTTCCCGGTATTTGCAAAGCAGGTTGCGTTAAAGAGAGACTGCAATGCCAGCATCCCAGGCACGCTCCAGGGCCAGAGACAGGAACAATGTCCTCAACAGGGCTGAGTTCCTCTCGCTGAACCAGCCCTTGAAGGGGAACCAGGAGAGCAGGAGCTCCAGCAGGAAGCAGAGCAGCCAGGCCGGGGCAGCCGGTGCCCAGAGCACCAGCCCCAAGGAGCGGAGGCAGTCGCAGCAGCTGCCCGAGGAGGATTGCATGCAGCTCAACCCCTCCTTCAAGGGAATCGCCTTCAACTCGCTGCTGGCCATCGATATCTGCATGTCCAAGAGGCTGGGAGTGTGTGCCAGCAGAGCCTCCTCCTGGGGAGGTGCCCGCTCCATGATCAACCTCCTGGGGATAACGGGGCACGGCATCCCCTGGATCGCGGGTACGCTCATCTGCCTGGTGAAGAGCAGCACGCTGGCAGGCCAAGAGGTCCTCATGAACCTGCTGCTAGGTGAGTGGCAAACCTCCCTCCCTGCTGGGAAAGCCCAGCCCTCCTCACAAGGGACAGCAGCGCTGGGACTCCTCCTCTGGCTGCTCCCAGCGGCAGAAGTGGTCGGGAAGCAGGGAGTGACCTTTAGGGAAATGCTGCACTTCTTGGCACTGCTAGTCCCAGGTGCTGGGGGTGACGGAGGTCACAAGAAGGTGTTGGAGAGGGATGGAGTATCCGTGGTGGCTGGGGACAGCCATGGAGCAGGGACAGGCCCCTGGTGCTGCGTGGGGCAGGGTTGTCCAGGCAGACCAGGGCAGTGTCTGTGGTGGGAGGGTGGATACCAGCAGTGCTGTCTTTTATTTCATCTGTGGTCATCTGCCTTGGTGTTTGATAGGGTATCATAAAGATATTAGTCTCTAATATCTGGATCAACTCCTGAGGAGTTGCCACTTTCTTGACCAGGCTCCACGTGACAGGGTCCTGTCACCTTCCCTGCTGCAGTTTGCTCTCACATCCTCCTTCCCTTGGGTACCTTTCTTGCTGCTGTCCCCGTTTCCATGTGCTAATTTGACCCAGAGGCTGTGTAGGCACGCTGGGATGCCTCTGGCTCTCCTGCTAGTCCTTCCTGGCATGGTGGTGGTCAGTGTCCCTGTTTCTGGAGATTGAGATGTGTTGAAGGGTTTGGCTTCTCCACTGTGCAGGGCCCATCCCACCTTGATGTCCCACCAGTGACCAGGATGAGCTCTAGCTGTGACTTGCCTTAGATCCTGGCCCCAGCCTGCCCAGGCCACATATACATGAGGAACTTGCTCTTCTTGCTCTTCTGCCTTTGGCACAGGGTCCAGTTATCCTCTTTTTCATTATGACTAATTACCCTCTCATCTGGCTGTGACCCACCCTGGTGTTTCACCCTCCCTAAAAACTCAGCAATCCCACTTTTGGTTGGTAGGAGAAATTGAAAACACTGGATTTAGACCCTTTCTTGTCAGGGAGCATTTTCAGGGGCCGTAGGGACACTTTATTTCACAGTCACAGTCACACTTTATTTCACAGGAAAGGGACGTCCTGTCTGCAGGGGCTGACTGTGACGTGATACAGCTCAGCAACCGCGGCCTCAGGTTTTGGGGATTTTTTCACAAGTTCATCCTTCACAGAGGGTGAAAACTGACCTGGACTGGCTTGAAAAGCACAGTGGTAGCTGCCTTTTCTCCCCTGTGCCTTTGGAGGAGACTGTCCTGGTGCTGTGACATCTCATGGGGGGAGGCCATGGCAGGGAAGAAGCCAGAATAGCTCCAGCGTGATGCGGAGCCCGACATCAGCAGATCTTGCAGGGGCTCCTGGAGCCGGGGTCAGCCCCTCCTGGGAAGAGAAGATCCACTTAAAAGGGCACGAGGATGAAATAGGAGGTGACTAAAAGCAACCAGCACAGCTCCAGATGTCTCTTGATCCAAGAGCCTCTGACGGAGTTGGAGCCTGAAAACCGACCACTTTGACTCCAAAATATTTGAGATCCTTGCAAAGACCTAATGCCCCTTTTGGCTTAAAAACAAGGAAGGTTTTCTCACCCTTCTGTTGCTATATGAGGAGGACAAATGCAAAGCCACCTCAGGGTCATGTTCTAACTTCATGGAGTGGTGGCTGGGAGAGCTCATCCCTGCATCACCACCCACATCTCCAGGTCTCCTGAGCTCCAGCGTGGTGTCCAGGGACAAGCTGGGAGTTCTGGAGTCTTGCATCCTTGCCTAGACACACTCCTCCCACCCCTCCTCTCCCTCTGCCAAGGCAGGAAATAGTTAATTGGTGTGAAGGGCCAGTTCCATAGGTCTGGCAATTCCCAAAGAGCTCCACTGCTCCCTCTGAAAAGACAGCACTGACTGGTGGGACTGGCCAAGTGCCCTCAGCCTCTCTTGTCAGAGCTTCTGGAGGAGGAGATCTCTGCTGTGAGAGTGGCCTTGGGCTGATATTTAAGCTTGCAGTCAGAAACTCTGAGTCTCTGAGTAGCTGCTGTGATATCTGCACTGCTGCTGGAGAAGGAGCCTGGCTGGGAGCCTGGGGCTGGTGGACCTCGACAGGTCCCAAGAGAAGTGGGGTCCTGTGTAGACAGGAAGGTCATGGCACCTCTGCTGCATCTGGCATCCTTGGTCCCTCTTGCTGCTGCTTTCCTGTGGTTCAAACCCACCAGGACGTGGTGAAAAGCTCTCCTGTTTAGGCACAGGCCAAAGGGAGGGGAAGCTCCTGGTGCTTCCCTGCTGGAAGAGGGAAGCCAGGAAGTTGGGGTTGTCTGTGGCACCCCTTCCGTACTCCCCGGGCTCTCCTCCCTTCCCCCGGCTTGCTGAGGGTTTGATACATCAAGCAGAATTTCTGATGCAGTCTCTGGGCAGGGAGCCAGCCCATCATAGAGCACTTGTTTAGGATTTGCAATCAGGCTTCCAAGGCGAGGAGACTGCTGAAAGGGGACTGGGAACCTGGCAGGAGCACCACTGCAGATGGAGGAGGAGCTCCTGCCAGGGGCTTTGCCAACACATGTGGGGGCATTTCAGGTCTGACCCTGGGATGCTCCATCCATCCCCACTGCAGATGCTGATTAGCAACCCCAAGCAATGTTTTCTCTCCATGTTTGTCATCTGTGATGGAATTTATTGATTCCCCTTCTCACAGTTGTCTTTTCCAGCAAATGCCAAACAGCCAGAGAAGCACACACAGCCTGTTACTGAAAAGATGGAAGAAACCAGATATCTGTGCCCACTGTAAAAATCCCTCTGCCAGGACATGCTTTCAGGAAGACTGTCTCAGCATCACCAGCCCTGGCTGAGCAAAAGTCAGGGAGAAGGTCCACGACCCTTTGGATAAATTGAGAAAATCATAACTTGGGAAATACCCCAGTTACAAAGTTCCTTTTACTTGTCTGCCAGTGTTGGAACTTTTAGGACTATTGCAGCTTTTCTCTGCAATCACAAGGATTTTGTGGGAAGGTGCTTAGAAAGTAATTTGAACTTTGCAGCTGGGCTTTCAGGGGGAAAGCAGTTCTAAAACTTCCAGTAAAATGCCCAGATCTGCTTCAGAACCAGACAGAAATTCCATTAAACCCTGGGGGCAGCAATACCTTGGTTTCTGGTTCTGATCCATCTGGTGAGGATGTGGATCCAAATTTAGTGATTCATTGACTGCAAAGCCAGCAAAGAACATTTGGATCATCGATCTAACCCACGGCAAAATACAGGCTGTAGCACATCCCTTAATTTATTCCTGTTCAATTTGTTAAAGGAAAAAACCCAAACACTCAATCTGATGTGCAGTTACAAGTGAGGGTGAACTCGTCAGAGCCATTTCTGTATTACTGCAGTGGTAGGGATTCTCACAAGTGCTTTTAGTTGGACTCTTCCCTTCACTGTGTCTCCCTACCCTTCCCTCTCCAGCTGAACAGCTCTTTCAGCCAACATCTCTTCCGCCTTTCAGTGTTTTGGATAGTGCTCAAGTAATTTCTTCACCTCCTATTTATTAAGTTAAACAGATTGATCTCGTTAAGCTGATGGTCTTTGCAGGTCCAGGCACCTTCTCACTGCAGCGGGGATGGAATGTGGTCCCTGGGGATGGAAAATGTTTGCCCACCCAAAGTGGTCACTCCTGTGAGGCCCCTCTTTTGTGTTTACAGCCAAACCATTGCTGTGTTTGGTTATTTGCCACCAGCTAGGTGCCTTTGCTGTTGGGAAGCACCTGCTTGGGTCATCCTTGCACATAAAATTGTGTTTGTGCTTGGTTTGAAGCACCAGGAACTGGTTCTGCTCTCTGGAGCAGGTATCCAGACTAGGAGAAGAGAAAGCCCATGTCCTCTCTTTGCTTGCAGTCTCAGTGACACTGGTCCCAGTGCTCAGCCATCTGCAGCTGGCTCTGCATCCCCTTGGAGGGGCAGGATGGCTCTTTGGTGCTGTCACTAAGCATTTATCCCATTACAGCCCTGCCTCAGGCTGTGGATGTATCATGAGCAGTGGCAGGCTGGGGATGGGTGAATGCCACAGAAGGAGGAAAGGAGGGAGCCCAGGGTGGCTTCTCCATTCCTGGAGGTCAGCAAGGAGGAAGCTCTTGCTGTGTTCAGCCTTCTTCCTGAACATTGACATAGCTTTACTCTGACCAGGAACCAAGCCATGATATTCTGAAGCACAGTCCCTGCAGATCCCCTGAGAAAGAAAATTCTAAATACATATATATGGTCAGAACTCTGTGGTAGCTTCCAAGCAAGACCAGATTTGTAAGAAATTGGTGGATTAGGAAGGAGAGAGAGAAAGAAATGCCTTCACCAAGCCCCTCGAGACCCCAGCGACCCTGTTCTAACAATACTGACGTGCTTCAGGTATTGTTGTGCTTCTCTTTGGAGGCTCTGTGATGAAAAACCCAGACAGTGCAGCCTGGTGCTGGTAAAGGTCACGGGGTAGATGAGATGCCCAGGCAGTGCAGAGGAGCTGATCCTGTCGAGCCTCAGGGCAGCCCAGACCCAGCAGAGAGGCCGGGGAGCTGCACAGCAGATGGATCAGATGCAGCAGAGCTTGCTCAGCCCAGAGCCCCAGAGATGGTTTGGGGCCAAATGTGTCTATTTTTTCCCCTTTCATTCCTGCACTGTGAGAGCAGGGATTTCCTGAGCCAGGCAGGGCAGAGGAGATTCCATCAAGGATGGGTAGAGCAGCTGGGGAGCTGGTGCCCTGTGGAACCATCCCTCCTTGGACAGCCTGGCACATGGAGGGGGCTCAGCTGCTGTCCCGCTCCCCTCCCAGCCCTGCCAGTGCCCACCAAGGTCTCACTGAGCCAGCAGCACGTCTGCCCAGTGAGGTGGAAACATTTCAATGCCAAATAACCCAACACGAGTGACCCATGGAAGGTGCCAGGCAGAGGGAACAAGACAGATGCCCCTGCATCCAGCATTTGGACACAGGTCCAGCCTGGCATTAAACATTCCTCTTTATCACTCCAGGCTGCTAATCTGCCTCTGTTCTGCCCAGATACAGCAGCTGAAGTCCGTGGTCCTTCGG